ATGTGATCTACATTTAAGTCACTTGAGTAAATCACATTTTTGATGATATCTCAGCTTCCTGTGATTGGATAATCTCACCACCTTTAGGTTCGTCTCGACGAGCTGATTCCAATGGAAGTAGTTTCAGCTTGATTGGATTGATGGTTATGAAGTTATACTTCAAATAGCTTCTTTTCTAATATCAACACTAGGTAGATTTTTAATGAAAATTTAAATAAGTTTTGTAAAATTTATATATATGAAATTTAAAAAAAAGAGTGAATCTATTTGTAGCTGGTGGTGACAGTTCTAGCCAATCAGATTGCAAGATTAGATATAACAAAAAAATTCAAAAATTACAAATTGCAATAACTCAAAATTATGCCTATGAAACTACTATTTGTGTTCTAACAAAAATATTTCTTAAAACATTTTACTATTTAATAAACCTACTTCTAACTCTAAATCCAACCCTAACCCAAATCTGGCTACTGCTAGTAACAAGCACATTTTTTCATGTTATAAGAACCAAAATATTAAACTTATGTGACCTTAATATATTATAATTATAATTTGTGTTAAAAAGTGTATTAGATTTTGTACACTAAAGGTTACAAAAAATACCTAATATAAAAAGTTTTTATCAAAGCTAAAAAGTGTACTAGATTTTGGATACTAAAGGTTATAAAAAGTACTTAATATAAAAAATTTTTACTTAATAATTTATTATTGATATAAAAAAAAATATTAACCAAATTTTGAATATCTATTAGATTTTTGTATATAAAAATTTTAAGTAAATATTTTTTAAAAATTTTAATCAATTTTTTAATTGTGCTAAATTTAGTCAAATTGGTAAATCCAATCCATTAATATAAAAAATCTTGAACATGGCATCAAATAGAATTAGTCTTGAAAATAATAGTTCATATATTCATCACTAAAGAATAAACGCAATATTACGAGGAACGGCCATTAAATTCAGATATAAAATTATGTTCGGTCTAAATTCGGGCATTACACCAGAAGTTAGATCTTTAATTGATTTTTTATTATTAACTCATAGATTTATTATTAGTTAATTCATTTTTTAGTATTAACTTTTAAATACAGTATTATTAACTTTAATACATTCGTGCAAAAATAAAATAAAATATAATAAAAAAATTGTTTCTAAAAAAATTACCGTTGGCCACCACCTGCATTAGATTTTTTACGTTTTAATTTGTAGTGACTTGCAACAACCGTCACTCAAACTTCAACATGAACTTTTTTCCGATCTTTATTCTGTGATAGGTTGTGATTTTTTAGACTCTTTCCAATTACTGGATATAAGTCTAGTGAAATCTGGTTTTTGTGGAATTCGTCGTACACGTACTTTATATGTACCTACATCCAATTGTTTAACATATAATACAACTTTCACTTTTTTGTCAGTTTCCTCTTTTCCAATAAATTTATTATTTCCGACTTGTACGACTTGAATCTCATAATAACCTTTTTCAGGTTCCTCAGCAAATTCAGGTTCTTCAAATGTTACTGTAAATTCATGGTTAAGAATCTCATCATACCTATAACTGAAGTCGACATTCTGAGGTGCTGCGTATTGAGCAACTGTAGAATCCGACTTTACAATCTTACTATCGAGTTGATCGTCATCACCAATTGCTTGTGCAAAAGCACGAAATTTGACTTTTTTTGATGAGTCCGGTGATTCAAGTAAATCAGAATTATCAGGAGATAATTCTTGATCAATTTTATCTTGAGATTGAATATTAATTGTTTTTTCAATAGTTTTTCCTGTTTTAGTATTTTCGACACCTAATTTATATGTTTGAATTTTTGAACTAAAATCGCAAGAAACTACAAATATTTGCTCGTTAGATTTATCATTTTTAGCTGTTATTTGTATATTCCTTGGGAAAGGCAAACTTCTCATGGTTCTAGTTGATTTTTCTGGAAAACTACTTATTGCTTGGTCAGTCGATACAACTGCATGCACTTCGGCTCGGTAATCTTGATCTTCCTCAAATTCAATTTCTTTAAGATTAAACTCATAATAGCTTGATGTGATTTTTTTAATTATTTGCGATTCAGCTATTGCCTTATCAGGTTTCTGTATATCATATAAATTAACTTTATATCCTTCGAAAATATTCAGACCTTCTGAAAGTGTTATTGGTTGATAAGAGACAGTGAGCCTATCAGATTCCTTTTTCATGTTAACGTTGGTAGGTTTTGGAAGTTGTTTGAAATCTTTTTCAATAACAGTAACTGGTCCATCAAAAATGTCTTTTCTGTCTTTTTCAAAAACAGTAACTGGTCCATCAAAAATGTCTTTTCTGTCTTTTTCAATAACAGTAACTGGTCCATCAAAAATGTCTTTTC